TTCATACCACCTGGTCCTGCCACCTCCTCAGCCTTTTGCCTGGTCTCACCTTTTCCAAGCTTCTCTTTAACAGGATTACAGCCCTCACTCAGGACCTGGGAGCCAGTCAGGGCCATCCTATTACTGCAGGCAACCAGAGGTTTCTCTTACCCCAGCCTGCCCCGCCCAGCATAGACCTGGACCCTGAAGACCCCAGCCTGCCCCGCCCAGCATAGACCTGGACCCTGAAGACCCCAGCCTCAGTGACTCCTTGATGCCCCGATGTCAGCAGGAAGTAGCCAGAAACACAGCCGCTGACCCCTTCTCCAGCCCACCCCGTTTCCCTTCAGCCCAACTTTTTTTTTTTAACCTTTTATGCATGCAAAAGATCCAAAAGAGGGGAGAGGACATCACCCTTGATCCCAAGGAGACACAGTCCATTTTTTATTCTCTGCTTCCTTGTTAAGCTCTATATAAGCACACCCCAAAATGTAGTCCCTTGCTCAACCTCCAAACCCGTGGGAAGGTCTGTCTGTGCCTCTCGCTGTTCCTCAATAAACAGTCTCGCCTGTTGATGATCGAGTCTGGCCTATTCCTTTTCTATTTTCCTCCTTTTTCCCAACACTAGTAAGAAATTTAACTTCCTTTATAAAAGTCAACAGATCTCAATAATCTCAATACTAGCAACTATCTGCTATGAGATTTTATTTCTGTTGCATGGATGTCAAGAGTTCTCAGCCTAGCACCTGCGTCTCCTGGAGCTCCTAGCTACTCAGGAGACCAAGATCTGAGGATCGTGGCTCCAAGCCAGCCAGAGCAGGGCAGTCCATGATATTAGTTTTTTCCTTGATGGTAATGGGGTTTGAACTCTGGGCCTGAGCACTGTCCCTCAGCTCTTCAGCTCAAGGCAAGCACCCTACCTCTTGAGCCACAGAGCCACTTCCAGTTTTCTGGTGGTTTATTGGAGATAAGTCTCATGGATTTTCCTGCCCGGGCTGGCTTTGAACCTCGATCCTCAGATCTCAGCCTCCTGAGTAGCTAGGATTACAGGCCTGAGCCTCCAGCGCCTGGCTTCTGTGAGATTCTTTTTTTTTTTTTTTGGCCGGTCGTGGGGCCTGAACTCTGGGCCTGGGCGCTGTCCCTCAGCTCTTCAGCTCAAGGCTCTACCACTTGAGCCACAGCACCACTTCTGGCTTTTTTCTTTTTGCTTATATGGCACTGAGGAATCGAACCCAGGGCCTCTGGCACGCAAGGCAAGCACTCTACCACTGAGCCAACTTCCTAACCCCTTCTGTGAGATTCTTATCTCCAGTAAACTACTCAGACAAGGCTGGAAGTTGCACTGTGGCTCTGGTGGTAGAATGTTAGCCTTGAGTTCAAGCTCCAGGACTGACCATCATTACCACCACCAAAAAAAAAAGACTTCTTATCTGAGTGTAAGGACTTAGCTATGTCAATTTCAAGGCTCTTGCTTTTTTTTTTTTAATCAGTTGTTAGACTTGATATTGTCCCTGAGCTTTTTTGCTCAAAGCTAGCACTCTACCACTTTGAGCCACGGCTACATTTCCAGATTTTAGGTGGTTAATTGGAGACAGGAGTCTCTCAGACTTTCCTGCCCTGGCTCACTTGGACTGCAATCCTCAAATCTCAGCCTCCCAAGTAGTTCGGATGAACAGATGTGAGCCACTAACACCCATCTTTGGGCTCTTAGCTACTAGCTACTTTAAGCATCAGAAGTTTTTACTTCCCAAATTTAAATCACAAAGATAATTTTCTTCTGAATGTCAGGAGGATTCTTCTCTCTTAATAAGAGTGTAAGATGGGCTGGGCAGGTGGCTCAGTGGTAGAGCGCTTGCCTTGCTTGCATGAGGCCCTGGGTTCAATTCTTCAGCACCACATAAGCAAAAAGAAAAAAGCAGGAAATGGCGCTGTGGCTCAAGTGGTAGAGCGCTAGCCTTGAGCTGAAGAGCTGAGGGACA